GCTTTAATAAGCATTAGGAGTGCTCTTGACCTGGAAGCTTTGGCCCGCTTTTACGGTCACAGGCGCTCCTTACTGGAAGGATGAGCCATCGCTTTGATGATAGTTTAATTAGATCCGTTGTTCTGGTAACCATCAAATTTGTTTTGAATGCTCTCACGCGATCCGGTAAATGGTATAAAGGAAGTGTGACAGGCAACTTAATCTTGGGAAGTCCTGCGATGGATCAGCACGCGCGCTGGTGCCATACGCCATTTTTGATGTGATTCTTCTTTACCTGGGTCGAAAACGACTTCCCGGCCAGTGTCACGGTGAGAAGTTATTTCATATCAATCTGTGTGTTAAGAGTGTACATGTTTTTTGCTTGGCTGTTTTCTGTGGCAGGATAATAAAGGACACTTATTACTCCTAGCAGTAACAGCTTCTGTCTTTCATTTTTTCCTATTTGTCTGAATATGTGCCGACCGTTTCACGAGCCCTTTTGATAAAGAATTTCATAATACACACCCCTTGAATGAAACACTTAGAGGCAAAAAAGTGGACCAGCAAATAGAAAGGACACCCGAGAGGGTACAGGCGTTCGATGATGCCAAAGAGGCTTTGGCTAATGCTGCACTTTTGGCCATCCATCTCCAGCGACTCCTGTGGCTCTGACAACTGATGCCTCTGATTATGCAGTTGGGGCAGTTTGTGAACAATGGGTGGATGGCGCATGGCAACCCCTGGCTTTTTTTAGCAGGAAACTCCGGGATGCTGAAAAAAGAAAATAGTACCTTTGATAGGGAACTGCTCGCTCTTTTTCTGGCAACGCGGCATTTCCAGTTCATGTTGGAGAGCAGAGACTTTACTTGTTGACCATAAGCCTCTCACTTTTGCTATGGCAAAAGTTTCTGAACCATGGTCATCATGGCAACAAAGGCATCTGTTAACTATGCTGGACAGAACCACTTGGTGGCCAGAGGCAGTTCCGCTGTCATCAACCACTTTGATTGATGTGGCTCGGGCATTTATCTCTTCCTGGGTGTCCCGATTTGGTGTGCCATTGGACTCAACTTCTGGCAGGGGTCCCCAGTTCACCTCAGAGTTGTGGACTGCAATGGCAGACAGCCTTGGGGTTAAACTCCACCGAACTACTGCCTACCACCTGCAGGCTAATGGTCTTTGTGAGAGGTTTCACCGCTCAATGAAGGCAGCATTGCGGGCCTCATTGGTGGATAATGGTTGGATGGATCGCCTGCCTTGGGTTTTGATGGGTCTGCATTCAGCTCTTAAAGAGGACCTGTGGTTTTCTTCAGCTGAATTGGTCCTTGGCCAGCCTTTGAGAGTACCAGGGGAGTTTCTTCCAGGTCCGGCAGGTTCAGTTGCTCCCAAAGGGAGTAGGGCGGTCCTAACAGTGGAAAATAGATCTGTGGCCCCATTGGCAGCACATCACTGCCTTCCAGAGGTGTTTGTGCCGAAGGACCTTATGTCAGCCGAGTATGTATTTATCCGCCATGACACACACCGTTCACCACTTCAGCCTCCTTACAATGGTCCATTTAGTGTTTTGGAGAGGGGACCTAAAATTTTGTTGGTGGAGTTGGGGGGTAATCAAGAGAGTGTTTCGGTGGACCGTTTGAAACCGGCTCATGTGTTGCTGGGGGACCCGGTTGAGGGCTCAGCCACTTTGTTGTGGCCGTCCCCCAGTTTCTTTACCCACTCTTCCAGGTTTTCCCCTACAGCTGGGTTGCCTCCCTCATGTGAACTGTTGACTTGTGGCAGTCGGTCTAGAGAGTCTCCTTCACTTTCAACCCCTGTCGCTTTGAAGAGCAGTCGTGGTGGCCGCCTTATTAAACTCCCTAGCCGTTACCGTTAGGTATTTCATTTATTTATTTGGTGTGTGTTTTACACCTGTAATGAGTTTCATAATTTGTGTTTTTGGTGTTTGTGACATTCTGTGTGTTGGGGGGGGGGGGCGGACACAAATGTATATTTCGCGTCAGAATGTGCTCTTATTGTGAAAGGGACAGAATATAGAAAGAGCAGATCAACAGTTGTAATTCATTTGTTTTTTCTGAGCTTGATGTTGGAAAACGTAGAGAATAAATCGAGATTCAAAATATTTTTTGTCTCTTGTTGCCGACTTCCACAGTGTATAATTATTTTTTTGTTGATAAAAAAGTGAAAATAATTCAGTGATGTCTGCATGAATTACAGACACATGGTTGTCTTTACAGGACTTGGTTACTCTGTACTTGAGTAGGAGGGTACTCGGAACAGAGGGGTAGTTTTGCGGTTGTCATAGTAACGAGGTAAATGGGCACTGGATTTGTAATGCGCATGTGCAGAAGTTATTTAACCTAACACATAAACCGAGTTCATACATAAACTCAACTTTGTAAACCTCTTCCCTGGAATAATTTCGCGATCTAAACCCCAACGCTGATCATAAACAACAATTGTTTAAAATAAATGGTCTAAATCTGCCTGTCTGTTTTTGAGATAGAGTGTACTCAAGTACAAGTCGAAGATGGGCAGACTAAATACTTGAAGTTGATACAAGATAAGATTGTTAAAAACACCCAAAACACAACTAATACTTTCGCTGGTCGGAAGCACTCAAAACTAAGTGAGACAGCAGCGGAAAATGTACATATTTTTCAGTTTTGACTCTCAGAACTGATACCGGAAACACCGCGTGACGTGAGTCACAGGCTGCAGCCGCGCGAAACTTCAACAGAAAGGCTAATCTTCTCAGAAAAATACAGAAAAACTACAAGATAATGAAAAATATACCTTATAAACGATATATTGTCCTATTATTCTTCCTTTACACTGTTGTGGCTAGTGATAAAACATGAAATCCAACAACACACTGTTATTTAGATAAAGAACACAGTAAGAATTACATACCAAACGTTTGCGCTCGCTTTTTCTTCTTCTACGGTTTTTGTCTTCTTCGTTGGTTTATTGGCGGCTAACAAACAACGTTTTCCTGTTACCGCCACTAGCTGGAGGGAAAGTGAAAAGGTTCAATTCCAGAGTCAGAGTCAGAGTTTCTTTATTGTCATTCGTACCTCATGTGGTACATGTGGTGGAGTGAAATTATGTACACAAGGTCCCAGTTACATCCAACAATAAAACGTATAAGAAAAACAGTAATAACATCTAAGATATGAACTAAGAAAAACATCAACTAAATATACACTAAGCACTCATAACATAAAACATTG